AGTGGGTGAGCAGGGGGGGAGGAATGAATCGGCCTGCAGGGAGTGGGACTGACCCGGCCATATGTAGATCTTGGGACGCTGCCCCTGTTCCCCCTTCCCCTCCACAAAGCATGAGTTAGTCCGGCCCGGGGATTCTACTGTCCCCCCCCCCCCCCCCCCCCCCCCCCCCCCAGCAGACCAGGGAGGCGGGGAGCTGCGGGCGGCCTCCGAGGCTTTGCTCCCTGTCTCCCTGGTCTGACCAGCAGACCAGGGAGATGAGGAGCAGCTTTTCTAGCCCTGGAGAACGTGGGCGGCGGGACCGCAGCTCATCTGGGCGTCCCGCCGCGCCCGTCCTCCGGGGCGAGAAAAGCCCCGTTTGTAACTGCGGCTCCAACATAAGTTGGATCCGTGTAACTCGGGGACTGCCTGTATATTAACATAGCATATTTTATTGGAAATACTTTAAGAAATTAACATAGCTAGTGCTCAAAACCTTGTCCTCCTACCCACCTCCTCTTTGTACTGTGAGCTGAATCCTGCAAAGTGTAATAATGCACACAGCCCTGCCAGGAGAATGCACGCAGCCCAAAGAAGGGAGAGTGGTGGGATGGCATGTTTGGGTAGGGGGCGGGGGAGGAGGGGCAGGAGAAGAGAGGCAACTTTAATTCCCAGAAGGGGTTTAGTTGGAGCCCGGCTGCATGAAGATGTTCAGAGGCTGTGATAGCTGGAGGCTTCCCCCAGACACAATTAGCAAGGCTAGACCCGAGCCAGCATCAGCCACATTTGGGTCTGTCCTGGAAACCTGCTGGTGCCCTAGTATAGGGGAGGTTGCTGATTCTCTGCCCCACTGCAGCCTCTCCCCCATGGGCTTTCCCTTGATGGTGCTGCACGTGCCCACATGCTTTATCCTCTAGGATCTCATAGTTGCAATTTGTGTGACATGCTTAACAGAAGAGTCTAGCAAATGCCTATGATCAGGCACGGCTAAAAGTTAATTATCAGTGGGCCCAAATGGGGCTCTGGGGGAATCAATTTTGAGATACAAACAATCCAGTGATTGAAGTTAGGAAATGAGGAGTATCCGTGGAAAAATTGGTGTTTCTAGCTCTTACCATTTCAGAGATCTTTCAGGACAAACAAACATACAAACTTTCAGAAATATTTATAAGATTTATATAGTGCTTTACAAATATTAAAACCTCACAAAACCTGCCTGTCCCAGATAAGTATTATCCCACTTTCAATGATCGGGAAATTGAAGAGGAGAATGTATGTGATGTCACTTATTTAAGATCACAGAGTTAATGTCAGTGCCAGAATTAAAACTGAGGGGCGAGCAAAAGGGCCTCCGCGGGCCATATTCAGCCCACCACGCAAGTTGACCCAGCCCACAGAGCTCCTGCTGCTCCTCTTCCCGGAGGCCAACCAGGGTGTAGGGACAGGGGAGCGTGCGGCACTTAGAATCAACCCTGGCAGTTGACTCTAAGCTCTACGTGCTGGAGGGCAGGGAGCGAGAGACTTCATGCTCTCCTGCCCCCAGGTTAATCAGGGCCTGGGGAGTGCAGAAAGTCTCCTCCGACTGCCAAGGGCGTGGGCGCCTAGAGGGAACCACCAGCTGTTCTGAACAGCTGGTAGTTCTCAGGGTAAGGAGGAAGAAAAGACTTCACACACTTCCCAACTCACAGAGCAATCACCAGGATTGCAGGGAAGTGTCATGGCCCCACCTCTTCCGGGGCAGCCCAGGGCCACTTCAAAAAAATCTCGGAAGTGGCCACTGGTCAAATATTATTGCCCACCCCAGCCTACTTTCTAGTCCTATGCTCAGTCCACTAGATCAAGTTGCCCCCAATACACAAGTCTTCAACTATCTATAGTTACATCACCTCTGCTTAGAAGCAGATTTTAAAAGTAGAATAAAGCATAGACAATATTGTTATGGAAGACCTCAAATTGTTACAGAAATCAAATTAAGGATTCAAAGGCATGTCCCTTCCAGAACTTCAGTATGATGTTTAACAGATACATATCTGCTAGCAGAATGGAACTTTCAGATACATGAAAAACAGAGATCCAGTTCCCTAGTATTAAAAAAAGCTCATGATACATCCACATCCATAAAATTGTGGGAAACAACCCCAAGAACCTGGTCAAATTCCAATATGGGAAATCACTTTCCATCTACCTAATTTTGTTGTTGTTGTTTCAGAGGAATCAAATTTTCTTCATTGTACGTCAAACTAATACTGCTCCTACCAAGTGCTGATTTTAATCCAGCATCCTGGAATTTATGGACAAATAAATACGTACATTATATACAAACAACAGTAGAATCCTCTTTATCTGATCCAATCGGGACCAGGGTCACATCAAATAATCAAAAATCCAGATAAATGAGAGAATGGGAAAATATAACGCTATTGCACCAGTATACCAGCCACAATAGAGATACCTGCATTTTGAACCTGACCAAGTTGTCTGGTCAATAAGGAGAACCAGATAATGGAGGGTCAGATGAACAAGATTCTACTGCATATAAGATATAAATAATTTATACAGGACTTTAAGACCTTTGCATAATAAAAGAGCTCAATAATAATGCAGCCACAGCATCTGTTTAGGCTAGAGATGTTAGCTATCAGGTAACTGAATAGCCATGTTACTCTATGATATCTTTGCAGCTACACAACTATTTGATGATCCCCAGGGGTGGGGCCAGCATCCAGTGCACTCCTGGCCCCACTTCCAAGGAGCCCCCTGCCATACTACTGTCTCTGATAAAGAGGCTGCAGCATGGAGTGTCAGGAGGAGCCAGTCTGCAACAGGAGCCAGTTTAAAAACCAGCTCCCCTTGCAGACTGGCTGCCTGCCACCCCACAATGCTGTCTCTGATACAGAGGCAGCAGTGCAGGGTGGCAGCTGCCCCTGTCTAGGCAGTGTGAGGGGGTACAAGCTCCCCACGGACAGAGGCTGCTCCAGGAGATGCAGAGCAGCTGCTGTCCACAGGAGTTCAAACTCCCAACAGACAGAAGCTGCTTTGCGGCAGCCTCCCCTGCTCTCGTTGCTGCAGGGGTTTGTTTGTTTGTTTTAAAGCTGGCTCCCCCACTGCTGCCTCTGTATCAGAGGCAGCAAGGCGGGAGGGGGAGAGAATGATGTGAGTAGTCAACAAGATTAACAGGTAAGCATAAGCTTATCGGTTAATCATCTAGTCAACATCTAGCAAGTGGCCTTCATTTCTCCCATTCTCAAGAATTTGCTTAGCATCATATAATATCTTGCATTTAATATGTACATTAATACAATCTTATCATTAAGATTTAAAAAAAAAATCACGGTACTAAGTGACACCTGAGCTTTAGCAGTAGGTTTCCTTTAACATTAAGAAAGTTGTAACTAACTATGCTATTTAGTTTTGATTAAACTCTAGTTCAAATGATCTTGCACATTTAAGAAATGATAAATTAGTATTTGGAAGTTTTTATGACACTATAATAGATATTAAATCTTACTGATGAAGATTTTGTTGATTTAAAGATGGAAGGACTGGAAACAATTTGCTCCTGTAGACTATAGTAATCACTTGGACTTTCAAAAGGATTTAATACAGTAGCCTGTCCTGGAGTCTTTGGTGTTATTTGCATTTTAGTTTCTTTTGCATCTCCCATAGCCCAAAGGTGCACCTAGAAGAAAACAAGGTTTCAGTTATAATTTAGGAAGCTACATTTTTCATTTTTGTCACATTTTGTTTAAGGAAAAGTTGAGAAATGATATTTTTAGATCTGTCAAGCAATTTAAAAAATAAGAAATTAATCGTGATTAATCATGCAGTTAATTGTGCTGTTAATCACAGAATACCATTTATTTAAATATCTTTGGAGGTTTTCTACATTTTCAAATATAGTGAGTTCAATTAAAACACAAAAAGTCTACAGTGCTCCCTTTATTGTATTACAAATATCTGCACTGTAAAAAGTGAAATAGTATTTTTCAATGCACCACACAAATGCAAGAGTGCAATCTTATTATGATGAACAGTGAGCTTCCAAATCCAGAATTTTGTTTTAAAAAAGAAGACTGCATTCAAAAATAAAACAATGTAAAAGAGTCTAGAAGTTCTTAGTCCTGCTTCCTGTTCAGCCAATTGCTCAGACAAACAAGTTTGTTTACATTTGAAGAGGATAGTGTTGTCCACTTCTTGTTTATAACTTCACCAGAAAATGAAAACAGGCATTTGTGTGGCACTGTTGTAGCCAGCATCACAAGATATTTATGTGCTAGATATACTAATGATTCAGATGTCCATTCTTACTTCAACCACCGTTCCAAAGGATAAGTGTCCATGATGAAGATGGGCTCTGCTAAAGAACAATCCAAAGCAGTGTGAACCAACACATGTTCATTTTCATCATCAGAGTCAGATGCCACCAACAGAAGATTGATTTTCTGTTTTGGTGATATGGGTTCTGTAGTTTCTGCATCTGAGAGTTTCCCCTCAAGACACCTGAAAGCAAGCTACACACCTCAGTCTCCTGCTTGCTGTGTGGAGGGGGCAAGGAAGGAAGGAGGAGGGGGCGCTAATGTCAGGATGTCTCCTCCCTCTCCCCAAACCTCTACTCTGTACCCTATCCCCACAAAGCAGATTACAAACAGCTACAGATACTTGAGTGTGAACTTCCTATTCTACTGTACTTAAAAGAGAAATATGCTTGAAGTGGGGTCAGTGTACTTAAAGGGACAATACACATTTCTGTCTAACACACAGGCACACTGTGCATCTCTGTCTCTCTCACACTCGGGGGCTACGTCTACACTGGCCCCTTTTCCGAAAGGGGCATGCTAATTTCACAGGTCGTAATAGGGAAATCCGCGAGGGATTTAAATATCCCCTGCGGCATTTAAATAAAAATGTCCGCCGCTTTTTTCCGGCTTTTAGAAAAGCCGGAAAAGAGCGTCTATACTGGCCCCGATCCTCCGGAAAAAAGCCCTTTTCCGGAGGATCTCTTATTCCTACTTTGAAGTAAGGAATAAGAGATCCTCCGGAAAAGGGCTTTTTTCCGGAGGATCGGGGCCAGTGTAGACGCTCTTTTCCGGCTTTTCTAAAAGCCGGAAAAAAGCGGCGGACATTTTTATTTAAATGCCGCAGGGGATATTTAAATCCCTCGCGGATTTCCCTATTACGACCTGTGAAATTAGCATGCCCCTTTCGGAAAAGGGGCCAGTGTAGACATAGTGTGTGTGCACAACCTGTGAAATTAGCATGCCCCTTTCGGAAAAGGGGCCAGTGTAGACGTAGCCAAAGTGTGTGTGCACATGTCACACACACACACACACACTATATGTTTGAGAAACAGTCCTCCTGGGCACTTTGGAAAGTTGGCAACTGTACAGCCCTGGAGGAGAGTAAAATAGCTTTGATTCATCTTCATGTTCATAGAAGCGTATACAGCCACTGCCATGCATCTTTTGTGTTTCTTACCTCAGCCCCTGCACCCTTTTAGAATGTGAGGCTACCTTAACAATTAATAATCCTTGAGGGTTCAGCAAAATGCTTGTTAATCATTTAGTAGGAAGTCATTCTTGTAGGAAATATTCCATTCCTTACTCCATCACCTCAATCATGTTTCACAATAATCATTCTTATGTACAGTATTCAATTGTTTAAAATGTATATGGAATATGTCTATATTGTCTTTTATCCCTGAAAAAAAGTTTCCCTAGAACCTAACTCTCCCTATTGACATTAATTTTATGGGGAAATTGGATTTGCTTCACATAATTTCGCGTACAGCAGCAGGGAATACAACTACAACATTACGCAAGGAGTTACTGCGTCTTTAGAAGTCACACATTGGAACCTTCTTTGCATTTTGTCAAATCTGCAAGTGAAAATATTCTTTAAATGTCCAATATACTCTGGGTTCTCATCCAAGACTACTATAATATGTATGGCAAAATGATGGTAAAATAGAGCAGGAGACATACCGTATTTTCCGGCGTATAAGGCGACTGGGCGTATAAGACAACCCCCTAATGTTTTAGTTAAAAGATAGGATTTCGTCTTATACCCCAGCACCCCTCCGCCTCCTTTGCTCCCGGTGTCCCTGGTCTGCTGGAGACGGTCCCCAGCAGACCAGGGACACCGGGAGCAAAGGAGGCGGAGGGGTGCTGGGGTATAAGACGAAACCCTATCTTTTAACTAAAACATTAGGGGGTCGTCTTATACGCCCAGTCGCCTTATACACCGGAAAATACGGTATGTCTCCTGCTCTGTTTTACCATCATTTTGCCATACATATTATAGTAGTCTTGGATGAGAACCCAGAGTATATTGGACATTTAAAGAATATTTTCACTTGCAGATTTGACAAAATGCAAAGAAAGTTCCAATGTGTGACTTCTAAAGACGCAGTAACTCCTTGCGTAATGTTGTAGTGGGGGAAGCCGGCGGCGGGGCAGCCCAGGCGCGCCTGAAATGCCCTGCCACCTGTATAACCGGCATATAAGACGACCCCAGATTTTTGGGGGATTTTTTTAACATCAAAAGTCGTCTTGTACGCCGGTATATACGGTACAATTATCCTGAAAGGAGTTCAGTCACACATGTAATTTGTTTAACAGCCACCATCAGCATGGAAGCATGGCCTCTGGAATGGCAGCCAAAGCATGAAGGGGATTTAGCACAGTGGTTTTCAAACTACAGGTCGGGACCAGTACTGTGTTGTGGAATGTTGAGCAATGGGTTTCTTTGCTACAGAGTGATCAAGTGACCAGCAGTGATGCTAAGGCAGGCTCCTTACCTCTCCTAACTGCAGACTGCACTGTACCGCAGCAGGCCCAGCTCCTACATGGAGGGGAAAGAAAGCACACAGGCCTCTGTATACTGCTCCGAGTATTAGCTCCACACTCCCCTCAGCTGGGAGCCATCTTTTAATGGGGCACAGCATGGTTTGCAGTGCCAGGAGAGGCAGGAAGCCTGTGTTAGCACTCCGCCTGAAACACTGACCAGGAGCTATTCAAGGTAAGCCCCTTTTGCACCAGCCCTGACCCCCTCAAAAGCTGGAACCCCTTCCTACACTTCAAAGCTCTCATCCTCAGCCCCAGAGCCCACACTCCCATCCCAGTGGTGTTACACCAGTTCTGAAGCAGCAGTCACTATAGCAATTGCTATAGCAAACTAGCCACACTCAACTGGACAAATAGCCTCTAGTAGCTAGTGTGTTGGACACCACGGCTTTAGTGAAATTATGCTGGGTCATGGGCATCAAACATTTTCTGCAACCAGGTCATGAGAAAAAAAAGTTTAAAAACTACTGGTTTAGCATATTTACCTTGCAATGCCAGCTACAAAAGCAGCATGTGAACTAAAATAAGAAGTGGAAAGCATTAAGTTGTGTCTTAGGAATGAGTGGATTTGTAGGCTCTAAAATTTTAAATTGTTTCATTTTTAGCACAATTATGTAAAAAAGAAGTCTGCATTTGTGAATTACACTTTCAGGAGAAAGATATTGCACTGCAGTACTTACATGAAGTGAACTGGAAAATACTATTTCTTTTATTTATCATTTTCACAAGGCAAATATTGTAATAAAATAATATAAACAATGAATGCCATACACTTTGTATTCTATATACCCAAAATCAATATATTTGAAATTGTAGAAGACATGCAAAATGCTTGATACATTCCAATTTGTATTCTATTCTTTAAGTATGTGATTATGATAATTAATCAGAACAAAGCCAAGAGAAAGGGCAGAGACAGAAAGGAAAGACCAACTGGCAAAAATGCAGCTCTTATTTTACTGAAGTATTTCTGAAAGCATTAAAAACTTGCAGGTAGCATTCAAAAAGTTGCTTCACACAGAGAAGATAATCTTAAAATTATCTTGTAATGTAAGTGAAATACTTTATGATTAAGTAAAAGAGAGAGACAAGACACTTGAAAGAAGGTATGGTATTTCAGAAAAAGGAAAATCAGAAAAGTGGACAGAGGAGGAAGTAACAGGAAAGAAGAGGAAGTCAGACAGCAGGAAGTATAGCCAGGCAGGTACTCATCTGTTACAGAAAACTTATTAAAGCCTTGAATGATTTAACAACTATGTATACGTTAGAGAATAATGTTTCTTTACCCTAAGAAAGAGGAAATTTTGACTTTCCTACCAGGGATTTACTCCGGTTCTGTAGGCATGTGATTTCCTGGAAGGACCTTTCCTGGCCAGTATATCCGAAGCCCCCATTGACGGTCACCCCTTGTTTACTTACGTTTATTTACCGGCATTTTGAGGCTAGAACGGGGGCAAAATAAATGCCCTGGAGTTTATGACCATAAAGGACCATTCGATCATCAAGCCCGAGGTCTCTCGTCTCACAACAACCCTCTGCTCCCCCCGCGGATAGCCCGGGCTCTAGCGGGAAACTCACAGCCTTATCCGCTCCGCCACCGGCTCCCTGGGAAAGCACCAGCGTGGCGGAGCCCGCCAGGCGAGCCGCGAGCGCCAGCGGAGGCACCGCGCGCCCCGCAAGCTCGGGGCCCGAGTTAACGACAGGCTCGGTGCTCGCGGGATTCGGCCTGTCACAGCCGCGGGTCCCTGTGCAGCCGCCGTTGGGCCGGGCAGCGCCGGGCACCCCTCGCCGCTTTCATGCCTCACTCCGGCGTCTGCATGGCTAAACTCCTGCTTCCTCTCGCGTCCGCGCTCAGCCTGTGCTGGAGGAGGGGGGGGGGGACGACAAGCGAGGAGGCGCTTTAACTGCCACGCCCCCTTTCACCGCGGCTGCCCAATCGTCGCGCGCCGGCGCTCAAGCCCAGCCAACCGCGGCTCGCCTTCACTCTCGAACCGACCAATCAGCACCGGTCCGCTTCACAAATTCGAACGGGTACCTTCTCCTCCCTTACATCTCTCCAGTTGTAAGGGAGACTGAGCTATTCAAAACATCACGGCGGGCGGAGTCAGTCAAGCGGGGCGGGGCTTCAGGGGGACAGAGCAGGCCAATCAAGGGCGAGCAGCCGCGCGCGGAGAGGTTTCGCTGCTGGCGTGCCCGTGTGTGAATGAGAATGAGAAGGAGCCAGTTTCCTTCCGGGTTAGAGGTCTCGCGCCTAGTCTCCTGTCGCTATGGCGAGCAGCGCAGCCAATTTGAACGCGGTGAGAGAAACGATGGACGGTGAGTCCGGGCGGGGGGGGCTGCGGTCGCTTCAGGTGCCCGGTTGCACACGGGCCTAATACAGGGCGCCCCGCTTCCTATCGCGCGCTCTGTGGCGGCGGCGGCCCGGGGGGGGGGGGGTTGCC